TACTGACCCCTTCGGGGGCGTCCCACCACCATTTCAGGTTGAGGGTTGAGCTTGCTACCTGTGCCCGTTGCTCGGGTGATCATTTGGAGAGAAGACGTGGTTCGTGCTTTCTCCATTCTGTTTGAATAATATTAAAACATGCTCATGGATATTTTACTATAGAGCCTGCGTGCTCATGAATAGCCCTGTGTGGCCCCTTTTGTTTTAAATAATGTTTTCCGCTGCGTTATGAATTACTTATTATGTTTGTTTATGGATGTTATTTGTGTGAATGATATTCAAGACGCTTTGTATAATATGAATGTGTTGGACTGCGGTTGACTATTAGTATTGTACGGCAGGTTGTTGACGTGTCCGGGGAGGTCCGGGGCGTGACAATTTAATTGGTATCAGAGCCTTAGTCCATAAACTTCATAATGAAGTCTCGAAATTCTGTTTTTGAAAAGATTTTGAAAACCATAAGCATAGAAGTTTTGTACTTGGAGAGCTTTTGGTACTTGGGTTGCAAGATCTCTAATTGTTAAGATGGTACCCTTAGCAATTGGTATGGCGGTGACTAGAGCCAAAATGTGTCTTAAGTACCTATCCGTCAATTGACATTCGATACGAGTCTAACGACTCATTCCGATTTTTTTCCAGAAATGGACCGTGGTGGCAAGGTTACTAGGAGAAACCCGACTGGCCGAGCGCCAGTTGCGACCAGGCAAGGCAGTCGCGTGGCCTCTAGAGTGTCTAGAGGAGCTGGCCGTGGAGGTCGATCACAGACCGTGAGCGACGGTCATGTTGACACCGAGAGTGATACCTACTGGTCCCATGAGGACTCTACCTACCAATCGGAAACTGAGCCGGTTGAGACCCCTTATGAAGGGGATGATGACTTGACTAAGGAAGAGGACAACGGTGAATCCTTGAGAAGGATTGAGGCGTTGCTACGTGAGTATCAACGTGAACAAGAGCTAAGGAGAGAACGCCGGAGGCGCTGAGCAGGGCGGGCTTCGGGAGGGGCTTCAAGGGGGAGAAGCCATGGCGACTCTAGGGCCCACGTCGAGCCACGTGGCGGGCGAGGCAACGAGATTCCTATCATAAGGATCTCAAAGTACATCAAGGAGGCAAGGGACTTGGGGTGCAAACCATTCGATGGGATGGGGGACATCTCCATTGCCGCGGAATGGGTCAAGAGGTTGAACGAAGCATCCCTTGACATGCAACTCACTCCCGAGTTTAAGCTAAGGATCGCGGTGAGGTTGCTGGAGGGGATGGCGTCCACATGGTGGGATGGAGTCAAGGGGAAGTACGGCGAGGCCGTCACTTGGGAGAACTTCCGGCAGGAATTCTTCGCCAAATACTACTCCGACTATGAGGTGAACTTGAAGAGGGGGGAGTACACTTAACTGACCCAAGGAGGCAAGTAAACTGTGCGACAACTCGAGCACAAGTTCCGAGAACTTGCTGCGTTCATACCCGAGTATGTTGTGGATGAGAACCGAATGGTCAGCCACTTTTGGGATGCCTTGGACTTGGAAGTACGTGATAGGGCAACACAATTGCCTAACATGACTTTCAGTCAAGTGGTTGAGCAAGGCTTGAAAGGTGAGAAACAATGGGAAGAAAGGAAGCTGAAGAACGCCGAGGAGGCGAAGAAAAGAAAGTGGGAAAGCCACGGACCTCAAAGTTCTAACAAGAAAGGGAACCATGGAGGAGGGGGATCGTTTCGGGCACCCCCATTGCCGTCCAGGGGTGGTCCAGGCCCAAACAGGTATGACTCAGGGTCACAAGCCCCAAGGACACCCCGTTGTAAGAATTGCAATAGGAGCCACTTTGGAAAATGCCATGACCCTCCTAGATGCTTTCAATGCGGGAACACCGGGCATATGAAGATGAATTGCCCACAACTGAGTGGGGCAAGGGCATCGGGGCTGAGTAGTAGGACTACGGGGACTAGGAGCCAAGCAGGGGCTTCCCAAGGAACCAGGGGACAAGGGGGAGCAAGCGCGAGCAACGCGCCATCCGTGAACCAAGGAAGGACTCAAGCTAGGGTCTATGCGATGACGGAGGCGGATGCTCAAGCTAACCCGGACTCCGTTGCAGGTATTACCTCTTGTATACTTGTGTTTTATCCTTAATTAGTCCATAAATTGAGGTTACTAATCGTTGGGATCTTTGAATGAAGCTTTGGGGTCGAACCGGGAGGATTTCGGGCAATTTCGGACTGTTTTCGCCCAGGCACGATCGTGCCTAAGGGCACGCACGATCGTGCCTAAGGGCACGCACGATCGTGCCTACATGGCAGTAGCTCCCTAGGCTATTTCCAAGCCAGGCACGATCGTGCCTACCCCCAGGCACGCCGTGCCTGGCACCCAGATTGCCGAAAACCGATTTTTCGCACCGTTTTGCGACGTTAAGACCTTTTCTAGATCCCTAACATGTGTGTGAACATTGTAACCCTCTATAAATGAGTAGGGGGGTAGGAAAGATGTCTTACTTGGTTTATGAATGTAGGAACACTAAAGATTAATGGGAAAGATGCGCGAATCCTTATCGATACCGGAGCGCAACGTTCATTTGTGAGTGAAGCGTTCGCCAAGAAATTGGAGGTGCAATCCGCACCGTTGATGCAAACCTTAGTGGTATCAACACCACTAGGGGATGACGTGGAAAGGACTTGTTACTATCCATCTTGTGAGGTGGAAGTTAATGGTCAAACCTTGACGTGTGACTTTGTACCGCTGAGCATGATTGAATTCAATGCAATCCTAGGGATGGATTGGCTAGAAAGGAACCATGCTAGGGTAGATTGCTACACGAAGGTTGTTGAACTAGAAGGCAATGATGGGGAGATCGACCCTACTCTTCGAGGGTGATCGAGGTAGATCAAACAGTTGTATCATATCCGCCGTGAAGGCAAGGATGATGATGAGGAAGGGATGTCATGCGTATCTTGCATATGTGATTGACAAGACCAAATATGAGACGAATATCAATGACGTGAGGGTGATGAGAAGTCTGGTTTGACTATCATTGGCTCAGTTAAGCCCATTACAAGATCATCGAATCTTATTGCTTCTACAGAGGTAATAGATTCTAAGTTTGGTTCAAAGACGAACCACAGATAGAAGACTTTAAATCATCTTGTTTTCTGCTTTTTTCTAATTGTATTGTCAATCAAGCGGCGAACGTTTCAAGGATTTAAAAAGGGAAACCTATCAAATAAGCCCCGTACTATATCGAAAAAGTCAATTAAGCTCTCGTACTTTACAAACACCCAATTAAGTCCTCGAACTGTTAAAAACGCCCAATTAAGCCTTTCAGTCGGTAAGTAACCGGTTTCCCGATTAAATGTATGTGTGGCGCCCACGTGACAATTTTTTCTCTTTTCCTCTTTTTTTCCCCTTTTCTTTCTTTTTTTAATTGAGGGTTTGTAAAGTAACAAACCCTCCATTAAAGTTCCAAAAAGTCTCTTTGTACACCTTCTAATACCCACTAGTACACCATATATAAAGCCAAAATAAAATTTACCTCCTTCTCACTTAAGTCCACGCGCAGCACCCTCTCTCCCCAATTCCCAAAATCGAAACTCCCCTTCCTCGGCACCCTAGCCCCCAAAATCAAAACTCCCGCCGTTCACACTCCCGCCGGTCACACTCCCGTCACTCACACTCCCCTCCCTACCACAGTGTTTCGAAACTCCATCCCCACCAAACATCACCGCCATCCCTTGCATCGATCCCTATGCTTTCGATTGGGGAGAAGGTGACCTGTAGCCGGACGACTTGTGCGCAGGGCTTGGACATTTGGTGTTAGCAGCGGCTTCAACTCCACTCGTGGAAATGGCGGAAAGGTTAGTACATTTTAATTAATTTTGAACCACATTTAATTGACTTAGTTTCACTGTGGTTAGAGGGTTTGCTGGGCCACTGTTTGTTTATAGAAGGGGAAGTCGAGAATGTGATACACAGATGGATGTGGATTTCTTGGGTTACTGTTATTGTATCTGCAATCTCTATCTGTTATTCATTAGCATTTCAGAATCAGTAATTTTGCAAACCACAATTCCAAGTTTGAAGCTTTGCATTGAAGTTTGAATAATCTAGTCGATTAAGATTAAGGTGTTCATAAAGGTTAGGGATTTTGCAGCGACATAAATTTGGGCATTTTTTTTTTTATGTTTTTAGGGTTTTGTTGTATTAATTTGTGGTGACAATGGTATTCAATATTCATAGATGACAATGAATGATACAGAGCAGTGAGAAACAACAAAGATTAACTGTAAATGAGGGCTAAGTTTTTGGAGGGTTTTGAGCATAAACCTTTCGAGGTCTAAGAATCTATGGTCTGTTTTGGATATCTTATTTATTAACTGTAAATGAGGGCTAAGCTTTTTGGAGAGTTTTGAGCATAACCCTTTCGAGGTCTAAGAATCTATGGTCTGTTTTGGATATCTTATTAATGGTCTGTTTTGAAGGTTTTGGATGGTTTTGAGCATAAATAAGGTATCCAATGTGTATCAATTTGACTAAAATGGTTTTTACTTTTTTTCCTCTCATTTCATATGTTTATGCTCAACACATTTGGAGTGCAATATCTCTATCCAGGATTAAGAAATTGAAAGAAAATTATTACTACCTATTAAGTACAATATTGTGACCTATTGAGACCATAATTCTCATAATAAATTGTCAGGACACTAAGAGACATTAGGGATCCAATTTATTTTGAGCATAAACCTTGTGAGCATAATCCTAGATTGAGATCCCATTTTACGGATCCAATTTATTTTAGTAATAACTGAATCCTCAACACATTGGATACCTTATTTATGGTCTGTTTTGAGTAATAACTGAATTTTCAATATCATATTATGCTCTGTTTATCACATTAATCAGTTTGATACACAATTGATTCACCAACACAAACCCAACTTATTTTTTCCTTTTCCTTTTCTGTCATTAAACTCATATAACCTGACCATTACTTCCTTTTTTAATCCATGTCTGTGACAGGGCTCTAAAGTTAAAAAATTCCGCTTAAAGACTATTTCCCTGCTCAGTACTTGGTGTGCGGAAAATATGATGAAGTATCTGATCTGATAAAATCATGCTTAACTGCCGAACAATTGCAACTGTTCCGCCAGCTACCATGGGGCCATCTTGTGGATGTCTCGAACATTCAATTTTCTGCCCAAATAGTTCATATGCTGCTTTTACGCCTTGTAGAGGAACAACCAGAAGATGAACTCTGGTTTTGTGTTCACGGAAAGGTCTTAAAGTTTACCTTTGCTGATTATTGTCACATCACTGGATTACCCTCTACAGGCCAAATGCCATCCTCACCGGAGGAAGATGGAGCTGGGGAAGATGAGGTTGAAGAGAAAGAACCTGGGGCGGTGGCAACAAAGTACCTCGGTGGCTCAGTGGATATTACATTTGAGAAGTTTAATGAAATACTTCAAAAATTAAGGCCTTCCAAACGACGTGATCCAATACTTGCTATGAAGTTGACCTCTTTGTACTTTGTTCAATGTGTGTTGCTAGCAAAAGACAGAAACACGAGGATAAATCCTGACTTCATAAGACTGGTCAATGATTTCGACAAATTTAAAGCTTACCCGTGGGCTAAGGAGTCTTACAATTTATTGGTCACCGATTTGAAGGGGTTAATGGTTGGGCAACCAGAGAAGTTTAAAGCAAGCAAAGCAAAGAAATCAAGTTATCGGAACGCAAAGTTCACTGTTTATGGTGCTCCATTAGTTCTACAGGTATAAAAAATGCAATTATGTATTTGTTTATTAATTTCGTTATTTATTTATGTATTTATAAATTTTTGTGTTTGTGAGGTTAATCTAATTGTATTTCTCAGACAACGTATGTTGTTCACAGACATTACATATTGGTCACAGACAAAAATTGACCTATAAACAGACAATGATGTTCTGTGTTTTGTGTTATTTATAGGTTTGGGCGTACGAAGCAATACTTTGGCAAGAAGGTGGGTGATACACAAGTGCCGATATTAAACTGGAGTGCGGATAGAATCCTCAGGATGACAAAGATTAAAAAAACCGTCTTTCCTGAGGTATGTGCCATTAATTGTGTTTATGATCTATTATACATAAATTTGAATTCAAACAAACATTATAGTAACGTTTGTAATATAATGTTTATCATTTCCTTTATGGTAGGAGGATGAAATAGGTTCTAGTTCTGATGGAGGACAATGTGATGAAGATGATCACTCATTACAAAATTTAAAAATCATGGAGCGGATGCAGGACATGTGTATGTGTCTTCAAAGAATGGAAAAACAAATTGATGCTTTTGAACATAGGGTTTCTGAAATGAAGGACCTAATTCTTCAGTTGATTAGCAAAGGCAACCCATCAGGGAGTGACAACGTATGAAGTCATCAGTTACATTGTCTCATTACTTGTGTGCGTGCGTTAATTCAGTGCATGCGGCATACATACTAATAATTTCATTGCAGGATAAGAGGCCTGATTTTATACCCCCCCAGGAGAAGAAGGAAGCAAACACTATGGATGAACAAGAGCCAAGTAAGGGTGATGACACTATTCTGTCTGGGGAACCATCTACACTTTCATGCCCCATACATCATGAGGTCACTAGTGCTGATGACATTTTGACGCTTGATGTGACTGAGGTATGCTTATTCTATATTTTAGTGTTATAGAATGTGTGGTATCATGTCTTGTCTGTTATTTAATTTTGTCTATGGGGAGGAAAATAATGTCTGTGAAACATTGGATTGAGATGGAGTTGTTGAGGATACATTCTAAGTACATGCCATTTGATTGCAGGATAAGAGGGCTGATTCTATACCCCTTGAGGAGGAGGAAACAAATAGTGTGGATGAACAAGATCCAAGCATGGATGAGGAGAAAATCTGGGAACCATCTACAGTTGCACGCCCCATACATCATGACCATGTCACTTGTGCTGATGACATTCTGCCCATTGTTGTGACTAGGGTATGCTTTATCCATATTTTAGTATTGTCTGTATGTGGTATAATTTTTGTCTGTAGATGGGCTGTTTTGGCTTATTCTTATTATCAGTCCAAAAAGCAAGACATTTGATACTTTTTGGCTGAAAACTATTATTTCACTGTTGATGAGTTAAATGACTTCTCTGTCCATCTATTATACGGAGCATACCTTCTTACATGGTTTAATATTGAAAATGATTAAACCATTATATTGAAAACCATTAGTCTCATAGCTAAATATATGAAAATGATTATTGATGTTTTTGTTTAATATTGATTATTACTAATCGTTCACAAATAGATGTTGGGAGAATGATTCTTAGAATTGTTATTGTCAACTTTGTAATTGAACTGTTATTAGCTCTAAGAGTTCTAAAAAAACAGAGTAGGATACGAACTAATAGGACAAATAGGATTTTAGGAATACAGAATATAATACAAAGTGATAAGAAAGTTGTTTGATATGCTGGATAAACTCAAATTTATAATTCCTAGTACTAATCCTACTGGACGATTATGAAATTGGTTGAATTCTTCTTTAATTTGGCAGCCTAGAGATTGTAGCTAGGACAATTACGGTGTAATTATAATTATCAAGAGGTTTAAATATGTTCGTTAAAAAAGAAGTTTAATTATGTGATTATATTTGTTTAATGGTCTGAGTCATTGTGTTTTTGCAGGTGGGTGAGGACAAATTCCCTCCTTTAACAACACCTGGCCCATTTGAAACATTGGATTGGGACGGAGTTGTTGAGGATAACGGGACCGGGGTGATAGATGTTGAGGCGCTAGAAGAATTGACAAGGCATGAAGTTAAAAAGAGAAAACGTTTTCGCTCTAAATACCAGTGCACCCCATACACAGACCCGCTTGGGAAACGGAAAAAACCCGCTGGCAACAAAAATCCCGCCTTACTTGAAGCTAGTGATGCTGACTATGCCTCTTTGAAAGCTTGGATGGAAGAGGAGGACAATGTTGTTGAACCTTCCTCATTTATTCTTGAGCTGCCGTCACAAGAATCTGTGAAAAGGGCCTTTTTCCAAGAACTTGTTGAACCTGAGGAGTGGTTATCCACCTATGTGAGTCACATTTTTTTCCTATATTTTTTTTGGGTTATGTGTTGCTGACTTTGTATTGTTTTTGAAGCACTTGGATTCTCTTATGTATCTATTTGCCAAAGGCATGGTGGAGAAGCGCTATGAATTAATGAGTCCTTACTTTGTGGTACGTAATTGATTGAACACGAACACCCAATTTTAAGCACACAAATTCAGAACACATTAACTTTGTTTTGTAGCGTCAACATCTGAAGAAGGATCCAGGGAATGACAAGCTGTGGTGTGCGTGGGTTAAAGACAAGGACGTCACAGTTATAGAAAAGGTTAGCCCACAAACACGAAAACATGGCCGGATCCACAAACACATTAACTTTATATTTATTTTTTCTTCTCCTTTACGTCCCCCTTTTGTTTTTAATATCTATCTTTTTGGCAGGTTCCTTTATTTGAAGCGTGTTTGTAATAGATATGATTAAAATCATATACATTATTATTAAAGAAAATTGAATGTTTTGAATTTTCAGGTTTTCACCCCCTTCAATTGGGAAGGCAAACACTGGGTTCTTGCAGAGATTGACATTGTTCATAGAGTGGTCCGAGTGTACGACTCCTTGAAGTCGAGTAGGACGGCTTCATCTGTGGCCCATTTGTGTGTTCGATTGCCATACCTTTGTAGGGCGATAAACTGTACCCACACTGTTTGTGAATCAGGAAACATGGAACCTTGGATAGCCAAGGCAGTCAACGATGTCCCACAACAAGAAGGGTAAATCTTTGTTTGTGAGGTGTTTAATAGTGTCTGTACATGTCGTCTTGTGTCTGTGTGTTTCATATTACTCTTTGTATGACTTCCTATTTGCAGAAGTAGTGATTGCGGTGTCATGGTTGCGGCCTTTCTTGAGGCATTGATGTGCGATATACCTTTGAGGCCATATTGTGAGTATGAGAATGTGCATTCAAAGCGATGGGAGTTTGCTGTGCGGCTATGGCGTGTGAGGCGAATTATGGCGTAGATTGTATTATATAAAGTTATATAACACCAACGCTGTGCTGCCCAGTTTTTTTTGTCATAACTAGTGCAATACAAACGCTGTTTTGTAAGGTTGAATGGTGTTTTGTAAAGTTGACCTATTTTGCCCATAACTTATGTTGTACATACACTTATTTTGGTTGTGCGAACCATATATTGGTTGTGCATGGTATCTAACTATGTGTAACATGTTTTTGCTTAGTATATAACAATGACTGCATGTGACTCTGTGAGATATAAACAATTGTCTGTGACTGCAATGAATGTGTCTGTGAGGATCAAGTCTAGGTATAATTAATTGTCTGTGTCTCAACTAATTCTGTCTGTGAGGAATAATCAATTGTCTGTGTTGTTAGTAATTGTGTCTGTGAGGTTTAAACAATTGGCACTTTCATTTAGTAATAATACTGTAAGTGGTATATTACAATGACTATGTGTGTCATATACTTCTGCCCGCGTGTAGATACAATAGGTTGTGCATTTTTGTAGAAACACCATTCTACTCAAATTTAAGACTGTCAAAATTTTAACTCGAAAACACAATGTTTTTTATATTCGTCTCACTTTTATGAAACAAACAATGTAAATGTTATACTTGTTTTTTCCTCCCTTCATATTATTTTCATACAGAAATTAATTGTATGCATCCTAAATGATTCTGTCTGTGAGGTATTGTCACGCCCCGGACCTACCCGGACACGTCAACAACCCGCCGTACAATACGAATAGTCAACCGCAGTCCAACACATTCATATTATACAAGGCGTCCTGAATATCATTCACACATATAACATCCATAAACAATCGTAATAAGTAATTCATAACGCAGCGGAAAACATTGTTTAAAACAAAAAGGCCACACAGGGCTATTCATGAGCACACAGGCTCTATAGTAAAATATCCATGAGCAAATTTATTAATGTTTCAAATAGAATGGAGGAAGCACGAACCAAGTCTTCTCTCCGAGGGATCACTCGATCAACGAGCACATGATACAAACTCTAGCCTCAACCTGAAATGGTGGTGGGACGCCCCCGAAGGGGTCAGTACTCTATACGGCTATAAAGTACTGGTGTGACAGGCATCTAATAGATATACAACAAGTATTTCAAACACAAGACCCTCAAATAGGGTGATAGTACATTATGATTTGTAACCCTAAGTTACCCCGTTTGAAAATATACTTACTTTATGTAAAAGTCAAGTAGTCGGCCCGTGGGCCCATGTTCATTTAGAAATCACCATTCCCATTCCCCGTGGCTATAAGCCACGACAACCCATAGAGTCCAACCCTAACACATGACATTGTATTCTAGAGCTCGGCTATACCACATCACCATACAATTCATGTCACTCGGGTCAATTTCCTTACCTTGCGTTCTAGAGCTCGGCTCTATCACATCACCACGCAAGCCCTAGAGCTCGGCTCTAGCTATTCAATACATAGACTACAAGTCTACCACCTTACCATGCATCCTAGAGCTCGGCTCTATCACATCACCATGCATGAAGGTCCAATTCTTAAGCAACCCTATGCCTAGAATTGACATATCAATGAACTACCATGGGTCATCCTTAAAGACTTCCCACCACTTAACCTTAGTTTCATACTAAGTCACCATATACACTTGAAGTATATTCAAGTGCATTTCATACAATCCAATCCCTAAGATTAATTCCATCAACAATTTCCAATAATCACTGACTAGTATTTCAATACTATTAAGATTATTTTTATCATACAAATATGCTCATTATTTGTAATCCTCTACATATTTATAATTATGTAGAAGCAACTTAAGTGTTCAATCTCAATACATAAACATTCATTTATGTATCCACATAATTCATACATGAGTAAAAAGCCTATTTCACAAAATAGTTCATTTATAACTCATTTAATCTCATTTTATTCATACGTTCTCAAATCATTTCCAACTTCATTCTTTGGCAACTATATCCATATTTCATCATTATATAATCATCATAATCCATAAATAATTATGATTTAGGCATTTAGGTAATCTCATGCTTAACCTACAAGTTGTAAGCAATTAGATGTCAATCCTCACCTCAAATGAGCTTTAAAACTTTCCTTCTCGATCCAATGACCAAAGCCTCGGCCAAGGAAGCTTGAGCACTGATTCCTTGCTTAGAAATGAGTGCTAAACAGCCTCCTCAAAGTGCTAGTTCAACCCTTAATCGTTGATACGAAAACAGCCCCTAGAATGGGTGTTTTCCGGCTAACTCGTTTCTTTAGAAGATTAAATCCGCTCCTGCGAGGTTGTGTTTTGCTCGGACGATTTGGAAGCCTTTCACTACTACGATTTCTGCAAACCAGACCTTCACGGATTCCTCGTCTTGAGAGATTTCTTTTGGTATATTATACGCCTTATTTGGACGAGGGATGCTCAAGTTATGGATCAAACAAGTAACCCTATCTACTGGAAAACGAATCCTGCGGCCAGCTTCTCTCTTCACCTCTCCCTTGAAGTATGTGGCTCTCTCCTTCTCTATTATCTTTGGGAGTGCGAATGGGGGGTTGTGGGAGTGTTATTTTGTCCTTAACTTAGCCTCAAAGGTCAAAGGTTAGGAGTGGGTTGGCATGTGGGATGATGGAGCAAGGTACATTCAATCAAAATGGGGGGAGGGTCCATTTGGTTCTCAAATATGTCTTGTTCAGCCCCCTCCCCTTTTTGTCCGCCCCAACCATGACTTTTAACCTATTCCCTTCATTTTTCAGGTGCCAAGAAGGTGTGGGGTGCTCTCCAAGTGATCCCAATTAATTTGGGATCCAAAATATCTACCAATACTTCCAAAAATGGAAAGATGGGTCCTATTGTTTTATCTTTTGTCAAAGATGTCTTTTTGTACTCATCCTAATTTATTTAGAACAAGTCAACTTCCTACATCACATTATTGATCTCCAATATGTGTAGGCTCATCTCAATAATTTACTTGATGGATATCATAGAAGGAAAATCCTACTCCCATTATTTAGCTCAATAATGCCAAAGATGGGGCTATAGGCATTTGTATTCTTCTCTAATCATTCTATCACTTATTTTGACATTTGTCATACATATTATTGGGCTACTAGCCGTGTGGGTCACTCCCGAGTGGGTCTAGAACGCCATTCTCGAATACTTGCTATTTTTAGCAGGTTGGGCCCGAAATAATGTTTGGGCCGCCCGTCCTTCCTCAATTTGTCTTGAAAGGTTATATATCTTTATTTGGGAAAAGTTGAGCTCTTATATTCATTAATAAGGCCCAAATAAGTATTTGCAAACCCGACACTAATATACGAGTTTGAACAGTACAATAATCAACCATGCACTACGTAAAACGTTAATCGTTTTACAATTGTTTGGAAGTCGGAAATTCACTACGTAAACTGAAAATTTTAAATGAAATTTTCAAGGACGTTCGGGTGCGGTGTCACAGGTATAACCAATTGTCTGTGTATTTAGTGATTGTGTCTGTAATGTATAGAAAATTGGTTGTGCACATTCCAATAACACTGTAATTGGGTTAAAGTGTTTGCACGTAGGACATAATATTGTGCCTTTATCATTTTACATCACACAAAAAGCATTTAAAACAAAGATAAATTTAAATCTAAACCACTAGGGTGCATACATGGCACGCTACCCACGTTACTAGCACCTTCACCATTTCCATGTTGGGTCGACGTGTTTGGAGTTTGTGTTTTATCATTCCTAGCCTTTCCTTTTTTTTCCCCTTCTCAAGTGGCCCCTTTTGCCGGTTTTTCCTTGGAGCGCCCTTGCGCTTAGAGCATTTAGGATCTCGAATCACAAGTGGAACCTCACCTTCGCCTTGCACACTAGTGGTAGGGTGTTGTATGGGTGTGATGGTACCACCAATAGAAGAATGACAAAGCGGCGGAGTATATGTGGATAATTGGGTCTCCAACCAAAGGAGGACACTATTGTATGCGTCTTCATCATCAGCAATAATGTTAGCAAGTGATTCGAACGTCTTGCATAACTTGTCAAATCGTTTTTGTTCCACCGTTGTGATCCACCCGTCGTAATTGATTTTCACTCTTTGGTAAGCTCTCTTCACATCTTTCTTCCATCTTTGGAAAATGTATGCATCGGGCAATACTTCCAAACCAACTCGACGTAGGACCACAATCAAGTGTCTACACACCATACCTCGAAATTCAAATAAATGACAACTACAAATTCCAAAATTACTTAATGGGTCATACTCCACAAAGAAGTTCACACTCTTATCCAACCCATTAATTTTATCCTCTTTGACTGTGAATTTTTTACCATCCTCACATAGCAAGAGATCACAATATACCTTGCCAACCATTTCATTTTGAAACTCCTTGAAGTTAGCTAGAGTGTAAATTTGTTGCACTTGTTTCTCCATGGCATATTTAGTAACACAAGGGATCATTTTGGTAAAAGAAGCAGTGTCGGCATGAAACTCTAATTCCACCTTCTTACGCAACGCATGTCCATATTGCTCAACAAATTGTTTGAGAGTTGTTTTGGAATTCACAAATGAATCGAAAAAAGCATTCATGCTCTGACTTCGTTGCGTTGTAGACATGCCCGCCCAAAATGTTGACTTTAAATAGCAAGGTACCCACCGTGTTCTTTCATTGTACATCACATCGAGCCATTCATGATCTTGAAGTGAATACCTAAAATGAAATCATCAACATTTTAAAAATTGTTACATATAATAACTTACTGCCCGCAGACAAATATGTCTGTGATGTACAAATATCTATGTCTGTGAACAAATACATGTCTGTGAAAATTACACAAACTTGTACCTGTGTAACATCTCAGTCCACTTATGCTCAAATTCAGGAACGTATTGGGAGTCATAAATGCAGTCATGTAGAGCTTCCAAGATATTATCTTTTTGTGCAAGCCCTCCGAGTTTTTCGGGTACCTTTTTCATTATGTGCCATAGGCACCACCGATGCTTCGCATTTGGAAAAACAATTTTAATGGCATTTTGCATTGCACGATCTTGATCCGTAATAATTCCCATTGGAGCACATCCCTCCATGCAATCTAGCCATGCTTTAAATAGCCAAACGAAAGTGTGTGTATCTTCACTAGATATCAATCCACACCCTAGCAATATAATTGGCCATGATGATGGACCCCGACAAATGGAGCAAAAGGCATGTCATACCTATTTGTAAGGTAAGTTGTGTCAAACGTGATGACATCTCCAAAAGATTTGTAAGCATACCTACACCGATTGTCGGCCCAAAATGTGACACCGCACCCGAACGTCCTTGAAAATTCAATTTAAAAATTCAAAGTTTATGTATTGAATTTCTGATTCCCAAACAATTGTAAATGATTGATGTTTTACGTAATTAATGACCGATTGTTATACTGTTCGAACTCGTATATTAGTGTCGGGCTTGCGAATACTCGTTTGGGCCTTATTAATAAATAAAAGAGCCTAACATTATCTAAATAGTGATACATAACGTTTCAAGACAAGTTGAGGAAGGGCGGCCGGCCCAGACATTATTTTGGACTCAACCCGCTAAAATAGCAAGTATTCGAGAATGGCGTCGTAGGCCCACTCGGGGGGTGACCCACACGGCTGGTAGTCCAATAATATGGATGACAAATGTCGAAATAAGTGACAGGATGATTTGAGGTGAATACAAATGCCTATGATCCCATCTTTGACATTATTGAGTTAAACAATGGGAGTAGGATTTTTCCTTCTATAATATCCATCCAGTAAATTATTGAGATGAGCCTACACATATTGGAGATCAATAATGTGATGTAGGAAGTTGACTTGTTCTAAATAAGTTAGGATGAGTACAAAAAGACATCTTTGACAAAAGATAAAACAATAGAACCCATCTTCCCATTTTTGGAAGTATTGATAGATATTTTGGACCCCAAAATAATTGGGATCAATGGGGAACCACTCCACATGATATTAGTACCTGCAAGACAAATAAAAATGGGTGAGAATACTTACCTTGGCCGACCACCATGGAGAGGAGTTGCACAAGACTTGATAGGAATCAAATGTTGGGCCACCATCTCCATTTTTCGCACAAAATGGTGTGCTGTTTGTCTCCACTCATTATGGGAATTATACTCGACCAAACAACGTGTATAAGGTGTCCTTGGATAGCCTTTGAAGTCTATATTCATATTTGAGTGGTCTCTGTTCGAGAGGAGAGAGTTATCATACAAATAATCGAGCTGGAGTGAACTGTTGTCTGTAAACTCGAGCAGTGAGAGTGCTGAAGCTGTTTGGTTGATATCTTGAGTTATACCAATCCAATTAAGGAGTGTAAGATACCAAAAGAAAGCTCTCAAGACTAGGAATCCGTGAAGGTCTGGTTTGAATAAATCGGAGTAGTGGAGGGCTTCCAAATCGTCCGATCAAAACGCAACCTCGCAGAAACGGATCTACTCTTCTAAAGTGAGTTGTTAACCCCAAAACCTTTCCATTCATTTTCCAAATGATATGAACGATTGGTGGAACTATTATACACTACTCCAAGTGTATAATATGTCCCTATTAAGTTATTTTATTGATGTAAAGGTTAGATACTAACCTAGAGCAAATCTTGGAAAACTAGGAAACGAGTTAGCCGGAAAACACCCATTCTAGGGGCTGTTTTCGTACCAACGATTAAGGGTTGAACTAGCACTTTGAGGAGGCTGTTTGACACTCATTTCTAAGCAAGGAATCAGTTCTCAAGCTTCCTTGGCCGAGGTTTTGGTCATTGGATCGAGAAGAAAAGTTTTAAAGCTCAATTAAGGTGAGGATCGACATCTATTTGCTTACAACTTGTAGGTTAAGCATATGATTATCTAAATGCCTAAATAATGTTTTCCATGGATTATGATGATAACTTATTGATGGAATATTGATCTATTTTCCAAAGAATGAAATGGGAAATGATTTGGTAAAGTATTGATAAAAATGGAGTTAAATGAACTATTGTGTGCAATAGGCATTTTACTCATGTGTGAATTGTGTAGATACATAAATGATTATTTATGTATTACATTGAATGATTAAGTTGCTACTACATATCTCTAAATATGTAGGGTTTTACAAATGAAATATATGATGGATAAGAATAATCTTAATAGTATTGAAATACTAGTTAATGATTGTTGTAATTGTTGAGGAATTGAATCTAAGGATTTGATTGTAATTGATGAACTTGATTGTGATGCAAGTGACTAAATTGATGTAATGTGATGCTAAGACCATGGTTGGGCAGTCCGTAAGGATGTACCAAAATAGATTATTGATATTACAATTTTAGGCATAGCGAGTGCTTAGGAATTGGGGTCTATGCCAATGTAAGGAGATGTACTTGAGCCGTGCTCATAGAATTGCATTGGGTAGACATGATGGGGTGATTGTTGTGCATGGTGATGTAGTTGAGTTGGACTCAAGAAATGCACGGTGGAGTAGTTAGCTTATGTTAATTAAGGTGCATGGTGATGTAGTCGAGTTGGACTCGAGAATGCAAACATATGTGTTAGGGTTGAACCCTATGAATTGTTGTGACTAGGGGTCACGGGGTTTTGGGTATGTTTGATAAACAAACCTTGGACCTACGGGCCGACTACTTGACTTTATATATAAAGTAAGTATATTTTGAAAAGGGGTAACTAGGGGTTACGGCCTAGATTATATTATCACCCTATTTGAGGGTCTTGTGTTTGAAATACTTGTTGTATATCTATTAGATGCCATCCACACCAGCACTTTATAGCCCTATAGAGTGCTGACCCCTTCGGGGGCGTCCCACTACCATTTTTCAGGTTGAGGCTAGAGCTTGCTTCCTGTGCTCGTTGCTCGAGAGATCATCTAGGAGGGAAGACTTGGTTCGTGCTCCCTCCATTCTGTTTTTAAACATTAATAAACATGCTCATGAATATTTTACTATAGAGCCTGCGTGCTCACGTTTGCCACATGTGGCACTTGTTTTCAAACTATGTTTTCCGCTACATATTCGATTGCTTATTATGTTGTTTATGGATGGCTTACGGGTGAATGATATTCGCGACGCCTTGTATAATATGAATGTGCTTGACTGTGGTTGACTATTCTTATTGTACGGCGGGTTGTTGACGTGTCCGGGTAGGTCCGGGGCGTGACACAAAATACATTCCGCAATCTTGACTCCTCATCTAACTCAAGCCTATAGAAAAATCCGGAACATTGAGATTGCATAGTAGCAAAGAACCCTTGAATTGCCATTACATCACCACTCCCTAACCTAAGTTGCCTCACCTTATCAATGTAGTTTCTACAATCTTTTTCAATAAAAGGAAGTTCCTCATATCCACCGGCTTGAACAACGGCCGAGTTGAATGTTTTATGAAGTTGGATTCCCGCTACATCATTTATTTCTAGTTGTCTCCTTATTTGGGGAGTCAACTTCCTATTGCACCGGAATAAGCAAGCCTTTGTTGGACTCATAAGATGGGAATGTTGGAGAGATATTTTTGAAATTTCCCATGAGCCATTATAAGTTGTGCGCGCCCGTATTCTAGCTCCGCACCCGGTTTGCATTGAAGGTTGGGGCTTCAATTGATTTTGTGCCTTACTACCTCGACTCCCTGCGCGTGAACACTCCATTACCATTGCAATCTCATCTCCATTTTTGTCTTTGATTGTACTCCTAGTTCTAATGGGAAATCTCATACTCTTCGCGTATGTCTTGTAAAATTCATACACGGCTTCTTTCGTATCAAACTTCATACCAACATCCGGAGCTTCAATATCCTTTTTCTGACCATGCGCATCTGTCATGGTACAATATTCAATTCAAAAAAAGAATAAATAATTTATTCATACAGACAACTTTGTGGTACACACAAACAGTATATGCAATGGTCTAACATTCTTGTGTAGAAATATCTTCATCAATATCTATAGAATATCCTAATTACTTAAAACATTCATTTAGTGATTGATAACTTTATCCACTAAAGATTGAATGCTACATCTATCAAGAAAACATCTCAATCTTTTAAAAATAAATATGCATTACGTGTTCGTTAAAATTAGTAGATTGTGTTTTCATTTCATAAGTTTCATTTTCCAAGTAATCACTAAGATTGGGGATTTGGTGGTAATATATTTAAATTCCATCAACCATTAACCTATCCATTTGTTTTTCCCTACATATTTGATTTTCACATTTTTCTAAATACCCCAGGCCTTCTGACTTTTATTCAAGTAAACATACTCTTGTATGTTGTCAATCTGCGAGGTAATCAAGTGTGTTGAGAACTCTGAATAAACAATTTATTCATACAGACAACTTTGTACTACACACAGACAGTATACGTAAATACAGACATCTTAAACTATTTCACATACAAATTTGTTCACTTCTTCCAACATACACAGACAAAGTTTCATACACTACACAAACAAACATGACCAATCTGCAACACCCAGAGGAACGAAATACAAACAAGATGAAGGCCTACCCAGTTCATATGCGACATCCATGGAAGCCTCCAACGTCGGTCCATCACCTTCTCCAGTCCGGGCCTTGTTTCCGTCATCCTTTTCAGTTTGGTGAGCTGCAGAGGTCTGTCCTTCAAGTTCTGCAGTTGTGGAGGTCTGTCTGTCACCTTCTCCAGCTACTACCGGCGTTCCTTCGGTTTGGTGAGCTCCGTCGTCTCCGCCTCCAGCAGTTGCATCCCAGAAAGTCCAAAAATCGTCATCGTTAACATCTCCCATGGTGCGAGAGAAGCTTCACCGTCGTCCTTAGCAAGAAAAGTGGAGAACACCGTACCACCTGCGAGAAAAGAGAAGCTGCGAGAGAAGAAAATGGCAGAGTCGGTGAGTCCGTTGAAACTTTTTGGGAGAGAAGCTGCCGCACGTGGGATAGAGTGGGAAAGGGGGTAATTTTTCTTTTTTACTTTGGACCTTATATATGGTGTAGTAATGGGTATAAAAAGCCAAAAAGGGGTACAAGAAGACTTCTACCTCTATATAAAAAGAGGTGGAATTTTGGCCACTTTTCCCGCCTAAACTATCAGATATAATACGGGTCGCGGGTCAGATTTAATAGAGAAGCTCAACTTTAATGCCTGAAGGCCCTGAACGCACATTAATTGATCGCTACCGTATTAAAACTTTGAAATACGTAGCGTGTCACAGATAACTGTCAGCTAAGTGAGCTGTCCTTTTCATATAGACCTGGCGCATAAACAATGCAAATCAATTTTGGGGATTCTGCAATAAGATTTTTTTAAGAACTGGATTTTATTAAAATCAAATAGGGAGTACGTAATGCTCCGTGTCAGATTTATTTATACGAAGTATTACTCTGCACGCTGCAGAGTGCTGTCTATTCAGATCAGATGCCATTAAATTCAAAGGACATTCCATACTACTCCGCATTAACTATTGGATAATTGTCTACATAATAAAAATCTTTATAAATTGAAGTATATACGGGGTACTATATATACAGCCATATTCTATCTGCAACAAACAGCAAAGCAATTGCATTGGGAGGGGCAGTTGTATGAGCATCGGAAGTTCATGCGCATTCAAGGGGTGAGAGGACTAGAAAAGCAATGAAGAGGTATTTCATTTTCCTCTTAAACTCTTTTAAAGAAATGCAGATGTTCCATGTCTTCATAGTTGTTTCCACCAGAGGCTAACATTCACTGAAATTGAATGGGAGGATGTATATACACATCAGGTAATTAATCAATGGCAATCTATTAATTGGTGAGTCCTGATCTATACAGTCAGTTCTTATTACAGTTAGGGTTTGGTTTGTTTTTATTGCACATTTGAATGTTTTCTTGCAGGATCTTTGTACAAGAATGTGTTAAGGAAAAGCTCAACCCAGCGTAAGTATATCAGATTGCTTTTGGAATGTCATATGATGTAGTAGTACAAGTGTACAACATTAGTCAATGCAAAATACACTATTCTGTGTTAGTTAGTGTTATGGTCTACAACTATTATTATTATTACTACGTATTAAAATTATTTTAGATTCAACCTTTTGGTCTAATGTTATTAAGATTACAAAACTAACATACTTAAGAAACCAAATGTGTTCATATGGTAGTCCATTCCTAGCAGCTTTCCTGTATTGTAAAAAATAGGGAGATTTAGGCATGCATTAAAATCCAACTGTATTTGTAAGAAACGAGCTGCACCTGTACCTTATAGTGTTTCAACGTGAGTATTAAGTTTTATTCAAACAATTATAGAATTAAAAGTTTAGGGTCATACTTGAGGTTTAAGGTGTGTGAAAATTAAACTCTGTCCTCCATACTCTAAAGTAATACTCCCTCCGATTTTTAATAAACTTCACACTTTCCTTTTTTGTACGGTCTAAAATAAACTTCACACTTCCTTATTTCCTTTTTTGGCAAAGAAATCTACATCAAAACAGTGCCAAACAATGTCTCAACAGTGCCAAACAGTGTCTCTACAGTGCCAAACAGTGTCAAACAGTGCCTCAACAGTGTACTCTACGGTAAAGTCAAATTTCTTTCCTTATTTTGTGTGAAGTCAAAGTGTGAAGATTAAATAAAACCGGAGGGAGTAATAATTACATTACCCATACCAGGCCAACTTATTCAGACCCCGAAGCCTACAAATTTTCATTTTCTAAAATATAGTATAATGATTGAAAGATGAAATTAATCTTGGTGATATACACCTGCAATGTAAAAGGTAAAAAATATTACTCCCTCTGTCCCGTAATTAAGTTCTTACTTTTCTGTTTGGGATGTCCATATTAAAGTTCCTAATTCAAACCTTTCCTTATTTGGCAATAGATTTACACCAAAACAGTGCCAAACAGCGTCAAACAGTGTTCAAACAATGCACTGCACAGTAAAGTCAAATTTATTTCTTAATGTGTGTGAAGTCAAACCAGGAATTTAATTAAGAACCGGAGAGAGTATTTTAAAATGCATTTGTATTTATTTTACAAATTCCTGCATTTGTATCCTAACACCTTTTGAAAAAAAGCATGACTTATCACCATAGTCTGATTAATAAATACTTCCGTTGTTCTTTTTTAGTTGCAACAGTCAATCTTTGCACATTTGTCAACACACACATTTAACCGTAAGTATGTCTTAATCTCTATTAACAAAAAAATATAAAAAATCATATTTTGAAAATTGGTAATGAGATGAATTGAAAAATATTTTTTTTTTAAAATAATTTTCATAAAATAATAGTATAAAATGTAGTCAAAATAGATCATGTGAACAGTGCAAAAACTCAACATGTTGCAATTAAAAAGAGACGGAAGATAGTACGTACTAATAGGGGATGTGAAAGAAGCGGCAAAGGAAGAATTGGATTCAACAAAAGCTAATCCTGCGTCGGCGGGATTTCACTCTATTATTTTAAACCCAATTTAAAATGTTTTAATTGGATAATTGTATGCCTAGAGTAATTGATTCAGATTTATTATTAAAATTTACATCGTTTATTTTGGATGAATAACAATTTTTTAAACTACAACCGTTTCTGTTTTGTATTGATTACTTTTAGTGTGTATTATAATGTTTCTAAGACATGCACATATTTAGCAATACATTGCTTTTTATTGTTTACATTTTAAAATTACTTATTGTATTTAATATTTGAACAAAATAATTTTCCGTGCGTGGCACGGGTGATATACTAGTTTTGTTAAAGTTCCCATAATGAGATGCAGCCCCCAAAAAATCCCAAAAAAAATACGAAAGTTCCGATATTTAAGTAGAGGATAAGCCGAGCAAACATCTCTGGAGTCTGGAATCTGGATCCATCAACATCTATCATCCACAAACGGTCGAACCCTCCGCCAAGTCGCCGATTCTCTTCGCGGTTTCATCCTCCGTCAGACGCCAGCACAACAGCAGCGCCACTCAGCCAGCACGCCTCTTCAGTCGTCGCCTACTCACATCACGCCCGTCGCCTGCTCTTCGCCACTCAACCTTCAGCGGCTCGGCCAATCGGTGCTTCTCAATTTTCACTCCCTACCATCCGTAGTGCCATCTTTCTGGTAATCAAAATTAAACATGAACAGCGTATTCAACGGAGCATATTTCTATGTTTCTTTGATTCATATTTTGTATTTATGTGGAATTTGTCTTCATAACCCAAGCTTTATGTACCCTTCAATTTATGTACCCAGTAATATGAAACTTTAAGTACCAGTACGAGTGTTGAAGGCAAATATATGGAAGTAGTCAAATTTGATCACAAAATGGTACTGAAAAAAGTATAAAACTCTCCTAGTTTCTCTACTATGTATTTTGGCTTATTACAAATTTAATACGTAAAATAAGTTCTACAATTTTAATTTTTTATATAAGAATTCCAAGTTATTAATTTAAGATTAGTTTTTTTTTCAATTACAATTTGTTGAAGTACAATTTTTTTAAATGTCCAATTGACCAAAACACATTTTTTAAGATTCATTAAGAAACTAACCTCAATATACTTTCATTTTCATTTTTCATTTTCATTTACTGGTAAAGATAACACTCTACCTTAAAATGTTTGAAGCTAAAAATCACACTTATCAGTGATTGCTAATGAACCATCTAGCAAACTGCAAGTAGTAATTTAAATATGTTATAAAATGTTATATAATCTTGATGCTTAAGAATGTTTGAAGCTAAATATTTCACTTAGTCACTTACCAGTGATTGCTAACGAACCATCTAGCAAACTGCAAGTAGTAATTTAAAGATGTTAGAAAATGTGTTATAAAACCTTTGATGCTTACTATTATTAATAGGAAGTATGAAATGGTCAGAAAACGTCATGCAGAGAGTATGGAATGTTAAAAGTAAAATGCTCAATTTTCTTCGTTTACATAACTTACTTTTGTTTAAAGTTAAAAGATACATGCCTTCTCTTAAGTCTCACCTACACCCATTGGAAATGAGTCAACTTTGACTACTGTAGAAATACTCTAGTTTAAATCTATGGATTACCCGGGATTAATTGTATTTTCCTGAACAGAGTGTATCTAAAATGGAGTGTCCAATTCCACTCAAGTGGATGCTACAATTTTTCTGAAGAAGCTCATGCTTGAGTGGAACATTTTTTTTTTTGTGCAGGTGTTTGAAGGCAGACATGACACTTGACTAAAGATCCATGTGATGGTAGATGTGAGTATAGACTTTTTATATAGGCAGCAGGCAGCAATGGAATTCAAAATGTCAAGGTTTATTATGTAGCCTTTAATTGAAATGCATCCACAATATTTATTCGTCTAAGGCTGCATTGGACACCTAATCAAGCCGCTATCAAGATTGGAAGAGATTTTAATTGAAGTATTCCACCTTGAAAACATGAACGGTGTCTACAAAAATACTTCAAAATGCCCTCCAAGCCTCACTCCATATTTAATTGCTTTAATTCTTGAACCTTGAGAAGACAATTAATTAGTTTAAATTGTTTACACTGTCTGCATGTACTTCGAGAAGCACAACCTAGGGGAGATAAATATATACTCCGTACAACAAAGAATACAAAAATTAATTACTAATGCTTTGGAAAAAGATGTACACATCTCGGTGAAACCAAAAGGCTAATGCAATTAAATGCTTCGAGAAGCTCAAGACACAATATTTAAACCTAGCAGCCTTTTTATTCATCCAAGACCTAGATAAATGGAAAGACTCAGCCGCCACCTATTACTAGTTTAATTACCAATATACCCTTCCAAGCCTTTGTGGCATTCACGCCCAAAACCTCTTCGCCACTTTGCTGTTTTATAGTATATTTAGATTACAATGAAATCAGGGCGCCCAGCCACTGCCTAGCGACTAGGTGTGCCATCGCTGTGCCTAGGCTGATTTTTAGAACCATGGCTGAAACCATGTCTGAAACTGGCTGAAAGTGACCAATTATCTTTTTCATCAATTTCAGTGAATTTAGCCAAACAAGTATTTTAAAACTCACTTGTGCTCTGGATGTGAACAGGTTGGTTGCTGGGTTAGGGTTTTGTAGGAACAACTAGAGAGAGGTACATCACCCAGAGAGAGGAATAAGGCAAAAGAAGAAAGAAAAAACAGGGGGTGAAGATGCCACTATTTCTATCAGATGAGGAATTTGAGGGTTGCTCTCACGACCCAAGGTTGGTTGCGGAGAAGGCTGACAGATTCATCAGGGAGCTCTACAATCAATTAGAGACGGTGAAGGCTAAGTCTGATGCCGACTCCATTACCGCTGAGCAGAACTGTTCCCTAATCCAGCAGAAATACGTTTCCGTGTGTTCTGAGTTCTCCGCTCTCCAATCTCAGCAATCCCAGCTTAACATATCTCTAGAGCAACGTCTCTCCGAACTTGCTGAACTCCAAGCTGAGAAGCGACAGCTTCACCTCCTTACTATTGCCAAGGATGGGGATATTGAACGCCTGTCTACAGAGGCCTCCGAGCTTCATAAATCCAAAAGACAATTGATGGATTTGTTGGAGAACAAGGATTTAGAGATAAGCGAGAAAAATGATACAATCAAAAGCTACCTAGACAAGACACTCATGTTGTCTGAACAAGCTGCATCTAGGGAAGCACGGTTGCGTAACTTAGAGTCAGACCTGGCTCTCTCTCAAGCTTCATGTTCACGACTAATGCAGGAGAAAGAGTTGATTGAGAGGCATCATGCATGGATAAATGATGAATTGGAAATCAAAATCCATGATCTTATAAACCTGCGAAAAAGTCATTCTGAACACGAGACAGACATGGTTGTCAAACTTTCTGACCTAGAGAGGAAATTCAGTGAAAGTTCTAGCTCGTTGACGTGGTTCAAGGACAGAGCAAGGGAGCTGGAGTTGAAGATGGCATCCTTGGAGCAGGAGTTGTTATCATCAAAAGATGCGGCCTCCAGGACAGAGGAACAATTATCATCTGAGATTTCAACTTTAAATAAGCTCGTGGAACTATACAAACAGAGTTCAGAGGAATGGTCCAAAAAGGCAGGAGAACTTGAAGGCGTGATCAAGGCATTGGAGGCTCATTCAAACCAAATGGAAACAGACTATAAAGAGAGATTTGAGAAGGAGGTTTCAACAAGGAAAGAATTAGAAGAGGTTGTTGCATCTTTGAAGGGAAGTCTCGCATCTTGTCAAACAGAGTTGGAAAGAAGCAAGGGAGAGGGTAACACAATTTCTCTGAGTAGTTTCAATACAGAGTTGTGCCTGCATTCAGTTTCATCGTCTGGGATGATTGAAGATGATCGCTGGCTCGCACCTACTCTTCCAGCTGGCATTTCAGGAACAGCATTGGCTGCATCACTTATTCGAGATGGTTGGAGTCTGGCCAAGATGTACACAAAATATCAAGAAGCTGTTGATGCATTACATCATGAGCAACTGGGGAGAAAACAATCTCAAGCTGTCTTGGAGCGGGTGCTTCATGACATTGAGGAGAGTGCTGGACCCATATTGGATGAGCGAGCGGAGCATGAGCGGTTGGTGGAGGCATACACTGTGCTAGATGAAAAGCTGCAGAGTTCTCTTTCTGAAAAAGCTACTTTAGAGAATAATGTTGAACAATTAAAGGTTGATCTGAGAAGATGTGAACGTGACTATGCAGTAGCTCAAAGAGAGACTGTGGATCTCCAAAAGCAGGTGACTGCGCTTTTAAAGGAATGCCGTGACATACAACTCCGTTGTGGATCACCAGATAAAAAAAATAGCTATGAAAATATGGTTATTGCTGAAAGTGATGCTGATGAGGTTGAAAAACTGTTGAGCTTCAAGGATATAAATGGCCTAGTTGAACAGAATGCCCAGTTACGTAGTCTTGTGCGCAATCTTACAGATCAGATTGAAACCAAAGAATTAGAGTGGAAGGGTAAGTTTGAAAAAGAGCTTCAGAGTCAAATTAATGATGCTACTTCCAAAGTGAATGCTGTTTTAGCAAGAGCTAATGAGCAAGGGCGTATGATGGAGTCCCTTCATACATCTGTCAATATGTACAAAAGGTTATATGAAGAGGAACATAGTCTTCGCGCTTCTGATAGGAAATCTCTTTTAGACTCAACAGACGATCAACACACAGAACCTGTGAGTTTAAGTGAATGTTCTCAGGGAGTCTCGCTGAAGGCACATGAGAAGAAACTTGAGCATCTTAAGTGCGTTGAAGATGAACTTGTTAAATTACGGAGTGAGGTTATATCATTACGGTCAGAGCGTGACAAATCCGCTTTGGAAGCACATTTTGCACAGGATAAGCTTGGCAGATCTTTGAAAGAATTGGAACATGTTAGAGAGGAACATGAAGCTGTTGTTGCAAGAAATGTAGAGTTCTCACATATGATTGTTGATTACCAGAAAAACCTACGTGACAGCTCTGAGTCACGTATTGCTGCTGAGGATCTTTCAAGGAAATTAAAAATGGAGGTTTCTATTCTGAAGCATGAGAAGGAAGTTTTGCTTAGTTCAGAAAAGAGAGCATCTGATGAAGTCCGCATATTATCAGAGAGGGTTCAGCGTTTACAGGCCAGTTTAGATACAATCCAAAGCACTTGTGAAGTTCGTGAGGAGGCTAGGGCGGCTGAGAGGAAAAAACAAGAGGAATATATTAAACACATTGAAAAAGAATGGGCTGAAGCAAAGAAAGAGTTGCAAGATGAGCGTAACAATGTCCGCAATGTTACAATCGAGCGGGAAAATGATTTAAGAAGTGCCCTAAGGCAAGTTGAAGAAATGGGAAAAGATTTGGCAAATGCTTTGCATTCCCAAGTTACTGTTGAGTCTAGGGCTGCTGTTGCAGAAGCACGTGCTGTTTATTTGGAAGAAAAGTTGAGTTCTATTAAGGTCTCTGACAAAGATGATGGGAGTGGTTCTCCCTTCTCTTCCAGTGAGTGTTTTCCGGACTTGCGTACTGCCCAAGAGGAAATTAAAAACTTGAGAGAAGAAGTACAGGTTTGCAATAATCATATGCTGCAGTACAAAAACATTGCTCAGGCAAATGAAGAGGCGCTAAAGCAGATGGAACTAATTCATGATAACTTCAAAGTTGAGGCTGGTAATGTGAAAAAATCTCTAGAGGAGGAAATATTGATACTCAGAAAGCGGATTAAGGAGCTTGAATGTGAACTTGATTTGATGGCTAAGGAGGTCGCTTCTGCAAATGCTGGAAAAGATGAGAAACTTGCAGCGGCTTTTTCTGAGATGGCTCATCTTAAAGATGATTGTGCTATTAAGACATCCCAAATCGGAAGCCTGGAGATGCAAGTATCTTCCATGAAAGATGATTTGGAGAAAGAGCACCAACGGTGGCAGGCAGCTCAGGCTAATTATGAACGACAGGTAATTCTGCAGTCTGAAACAATTCAAGAGTTAACTAGAACGTCTCAAGCGTTGGCTTCATTGCAAGAAGAATCGTCAGTGCTACGCAAGATGACACATGCACTCAAACATGAAAATGATCAATTGAAGGCAAAGTGGGAGGCAGAGAAGTTGGTGCTAGAAGAGTCAAGAAGTGAAGCTGATAAGAAATACAGTGAGGTGAATGAGCAGAACAAAATATTGTTAAGTCGGCTTGAGGCTATGCATATCAAATATGCTGAGAAGGATCGTGTTTCAACTGGAATAAGTTTTGGAACTCCTGCTACAGAAAGTGATGATGGCATGCAGAATGTTGTAAACTATTTGAGGAGATCAAAGGAAATTGCAGAGACAGAAATATCTTTGCTGAGACAGGAAAGAATCCGCCTGCAATCTCAGCTTGAAAGTGCAGTTAGGGCTGCAAAAACAGCAGAAGCATCATTGCGTGCTGAAAGGGAAAATGCTAAAGCTCTAGTATATAGAGAAGAGGAATTTACAACCCTACAGCAACAGGTGAGAGAATTGAACTTGCTTCGAGAAAGTAATGTGCAGCTTAGGGAGGAGAACAAGCATAATTATGAGGAGTGCAAGAAACTCCGCGAAGCTGTCCAGAAAGCTAGGTCTGAGGCAGATGATCTCATTAGGCTTCTCAAGGAGAGAGAACAGGATGTGGAAGCTTGTAGGAAAGCAGCTGACATTGAAAAAACAGAGAAATGTCACCTTGAGAGAAGAATTGATGAGTTGGTGGAGAGGTACAAGAGTTTCGATGTGGAAGATTACAACCATGTTAAAGAAGCTGTACATCACATGCAGGTAATTGTGCTGGAAAAGGATGATCAATTGGCGGAAGTTAGGAAACATGTCTGTGAGAAGCAAGTCGTAATAGCTGCATTAGAGCAAGACATTGCAAGGAACAAAGTGGAATTAAGTCAGGGGGAGTCTAGAATAAATGAACTTTTGCAATCTGAGGCTTCTTTAAGATCCGAGTTTGATAAACTCAAGAGGTCAACACATATACAAAAGAAGAAATTGGAGAACCTAGTTAAGGAAAAAGATGAACTGAACAAGGAGAAGCATCTTCTCTCCAAGAGTTTAGAGGAAGCTCAGCAAGCGAGAAAAAATGACGGTGATGCTGTGACTGAACAGGCTTTAAAAGAGAAAGATAAGGAGAAAGACACCAGAATACAAATGTTGGAGAAAACATTAGAAAGACACAGAGAAGAGTTGAAAAGAGAAAAAGAAGAAAATAAGACTGAGAAGGTTAGGCGTTTGAAGACTCAAAAGTTATGTGCGGATTCATATGAGAAAGTTAAACAACAACAGTCCAATCTACTAGATGAACTGGAGAAGCATAAGCAGGCTCTTAAAATGTTGACAGATGAGGGTGATAAACTAAGGCAGGACAAAGGTAGTCAATCTGAAGGCGGTGTTTCAGTGGAGCAGCTTCTTGCTGGAACCCGCTTAGTGAACTTCACTGCTGCTTATCTCCAGGCTGTAAATAATTTTGGACGACTTGTTCAACCTATTTTCATAGACGGTGGTGCTCCCACTGTTGCCGACATTTCTTCAGCCTCCCCAGACTCATTACCTAGTGGTACTATACACGTGGTCACCTTCAGTTGTTTTGAGTATTCTGTCCTTCAATTGTGAATAAATCTTTTGAGAAATGGCATGATTTTTGTTATTATTTTTTCTATGGTAGGTCCTGTGGTGGTGGATTCTACTGTGCCAACTATCAGTAGTGGTGTCCCAACCCTCTCTATTTTGACAAAAACAGAAGATGAAAGAGGGAAGAGGTTGATGCTGTCCAAGTTGAGCAACCCTGATGCTCGTAAAACAGGCAGGAAGCTAGTCCGTCCCCGTATCATCAAGCCTGAAGAACCTCCCCATAATGATGATTTAGAGATGGCAGAAGAGGCAGATGCAAGTGGAAAGCAGTTTGCTTTGCAAACTGTGGAAACTCGAGATGTTCCTTCCATGGTGGTGCCTTCTCAGCTTTCTGCTCGTAAGCGCCCATCAGCTCCATCTACTATGGAGTTGCAACAAGAAGAGACTCCAGCAGCTTCTGAAGAAGCAAGGGCTGATCCTGTGCAGCCATTGCTGAAAAAACCAAAGGGTCAAGAAATAATATCTCAGGACGGATCTGCATTGAATTCGGTTCCCGAGTCTAATGAAGGATGTGATGTTGTTGAAGATGTGGCACAAGGTTTCAAAGAGGAGGATGAGGAGAAGGATGAGGCAGTATCTTCAGGGGGAGAACAACAGCTGGCTGAACAGGGAGTTTCGTTTGATCAGACTAACCTGCAGAGTGACAGGTGCGATGATATAGGAGATGATGACATTTTTGATAGTAGTGGGCCTGGGGAAGCAGATGTACAGAATGATGAACAACATGTTCAAGGACAACAAGAACCCGTCATTCACTCAACGGCAACAGAATCTGGAAATGAAATGGAAGAGGGAGAGCTGCTCTTTGCAGGAACAGATGTAGCTGACATTGAAGGAGGCTGTAACTTGTCAATGGGGAGTCCAGAGGTTGAAGGCCAGTCTGGACAACAAGCAGTTACACCTGATAATTTAACTGCTGTAGATGAAGCATCTCCCTTTGCTGAAACTGGTGAGGTAGATGACGAGAAGAGTGACGGAGGAGAAGAGTCGGGTGAGGTTCTGGACAAGATGAATTATGGTGGTGGTAGTGAACAGGTCATTGCAGAATCATCTGCTGATCATCTTCCTGAAAGTAGTGTTGAAAAACCATTTAACATTCCTGCAATTGTTGTGGCACCGGCGCCATTGAAGGATGAGAATCTGGGTAGTGGCAATGCGGCAGCATCAGTAGTTACAGAAGTGAAACCAACGAGAACAATTAATTTGGCAGAGAGGGCAAGGGAAAGGCAAAGAGAAAGGCAAGGAGCAGGAAGAGGACAAGAGCCAGCAAATCTTACGCGGTCTTCTCCTTCGACTAGGGGCCGTGGTAGAGTACTTCGTCCTCGCAGTGGACATAATGGTGGACGTGGACATACGTCTGGTTAAACACATCACAAATCATGGTGCTTGAAGTGGTGTGGAGTGAGGAGAGGTTGAAAATCTTTTTAGTGTGGTTTCCTTTAGTTGTACATAAGTTCTGTATGCACACGTGTCATAATCTTTAATGTGATTTTCTTCTGGCTGTATCTATTTGAACTGCAACCAGCTAATTGGTATTTAAATTCTCCCTGTAATTGTTCTCAGGTTCGAAGTCCTTGGTGCTGAAAGAAGACTTGAAAGTTAAAAAGCAGTATCGACAGATTTTAGAAAACAAGCAACTAGAGCTTTAAATGCTGTTTAATGATCAGGTTAGTTTCATAAATAAACAAGATATTTCAGAATTATATGAACGTTTTACCTTCTACAGCTGACCCTGTCAGGCACTTTGATTAGGCCATTAATGAAATGTGGTATACATGTGAGGTAGAGAATGTGGTGAGGATCAATCTGAAGAAAGAAAAGGTTTGTTGATTATTGTTCTTTGTTGATAATATAAGTAAGGGGAGACTATCAAATAGGCCCTTGTACTATATTCAAAAAGTCAATTAGGTTGTCATACTATCAAATTGTTCAATCGAGCCCTTGAACTATTAAAAAAACAACCAATTCAGCTTTTTAGCCGGTTGGGCACAGACTGTGCTGGTAGGTGCTGACTTGGCTAGCCAGGTGGCATTAATCATGGCTAGCTGGTAAATGTTTTGGCCTTCGCTCCCCCTTTTCTTCTTCCAGATGCTCTGATCCTTTTTTCTCCTGTGACATCTTTGATTCTGTTAAGTCTTTAGCAAGGAACATTCACTATTAATGATATTTACAAAAACACAACAGTGATGTTTTGCATAATATTTAGAGATAAGAGAAGAAATGATATCCCTAATTATAACTCCTCTGCAAAAAAAGACCAAAGAGCTCTCCATCAACAATGCAGTTCTCCATACTCAGTTCTTCAAAAAAGCGCCATCTCCAGCTCTTGCTCTGGAGGCCTCTACTGGCTGCCCTGAAGTTTCCGACGCACCAAAGTTTGTCTCTGGTAGATGGGCCAGCTCCCTCTCCCGGTCTCCCCTGGTCATCCGACCTCATCTCCCGACCGCGCTCTGGCGGAGAGCCGAATTGATTATTCCAAGAACATCATCATCAACCAGAATGATGTCAGCCACTTTGAAATTGGTGCTGCGGCCGGCTTTCTTCTCGCGATGACGAAATCTTCCTCCGTTTTTGGCATTGGTTGTTGAGAGACCTCTCTTGTAGTAGATCTTCGAGCTTAAAGAGGTGCCATTGCCTCTGAATAGCTCAAGGCTCCAAGACGTTTTCTTAGCCGCCATTGTAGAGTAGCTCTGACAGTCTGACTCCTCCGAGTAGTTTCAGTGCTTTAGGGGAAGGCCGTGACGGTGATGAACAATTTTTCAACATGCGCACAATATTTTTTTTAAGGTTAGGGAGGAGATTCAAAGAAATGTGGAGTATTAAAAATGGGGAAAAAATAAAAAAGAGTGATATGGATAGTCACACGAGCAAAGAAACCGGAAACCGTTTGGTAACCTCTTAAGAAGTCATTTTGAACGGTTTTTTTAAGTTGGGGGTGTGATTGAATGATTAAATTTTAGGATAGCCTAATTCACTTTTTTACTATAGTACGAGAACATAAATAACCTTATGTGAGCATGCTTTTAACTAAATTTACTCTACAGGCTGATAAACTTGTTGGTGAGGTGCAAATTAAATGTGAGCTGCAGCTTGTGGAATGCAGAGAAGAATCTAGGCATTACTTGTGGCATCTACTAATTATGCTCATGTATGTATGTTAAAACTGAAATCTGAAAGACTGATCGCATACTGTACGACTTTTTGTATACGAAACGTTCTTTTTACAAGACGTTCGAATTTGGATGCTTAACTCTACTCAAAGTTTATTGATGATAGTTTCCATGTTTGAATTAATAATTCTCAGCCTAGTTTTGTAGTTAAAGACTTTAAGTATGTTTTTACTTGGAATGAAATTTTCTGGTTTAGCCTAATGTGGTCTCAAGTCTGGTCTAGTCTAGTCAAGTTTGAGACTGAAAACAGTCCAAGTAAAAACAGCCTAATAGTAGCCAAAGCTTGTTAATGGTAGTTTTGATTTTCTTAATACTATTAAAGTTAGCCATAGTGATTGAGATTAAGATGGCTTTCATTTAGTTCATTAGTTCTGTTTTTTACTTACCTTCGAAATACTTTCTGCATTATATTTCTTGGTATTTTGTTCAACCATTAGACATTTAGACTTGCTCATTTTTTTTCCGGAGAGTATCCACTTGTTTACTTTTAAATTGCAATTAGCAGCTGCTTCTGCCCATTGTGAAACTGTTATTCGAATCAAAACAGTAAAGTGTAAACCAAATTCGGCCGTAACATATTATTGATAAAAATTGGTTTTTTAACACATGATGATAGTGTTGGACCCGGGCCGGGTCGGGCCCGGGCCGGGTCAAGGCCCGGTCGGGCCTCGGGTCCTATAATGGTAGGCCCGGGACCGGCCCGGTCAATGACCGGTTCCGGTTCAGGCCGGGCCACCCGCCCGGGTCACGGGTCGGGCCACCCGCCGGGCCGGGCCGGGCCATTATATATATATATATATATATTTTTTATTAATTATATATTATACAAATTGCTATTAAAAACAAAGTTCAAGTGCATTTATTTGAAATAAGAACTACATTTGAGAATTGAGAAAAAAACAACAATACGAAATACATTTTGTAATGAATATCAATTGGGATTTCCGCCACCGTTGGTTGTTGTTTTCCCTTTGTCACAAGACTTCATATGTTTTATTGGCATCCCGTATCCGTATGAACCCCCCAAGCAACACTCTTTCTTGCACCACCTGCAAGTTGCCCACCATAGACCGGTCTTCGGGTCCTTCCACTTGTCAAAATTGTTTTGCATAAGGGAAGATGTACTTTCCATATTTAAAATGGTATATGTATAAGTAGGAATGTAGGATAATAAGAGAAGATGAAGATGGAGAAGAGTTTGAGATGAATTGGAGAAGAGATGTAAAAAAATGTTAGAAAATAGATGTATTTATAGATGTTTTTGAACCCCACTCCCCACACCACCACCCCCGGGACCCCCTGCCCCCCACCCATAGCCCCAACGGCTATATAGCCGTTTGGGAGGTTTGAATTAATTTTTTTTTTAAGTTATACACATATTGTAAAATAAATTAATTAATTTAATGAATTAAGTAAAACTAAAACTATTTGTACTTAGAAAAGTGGTTTGATTTATAATTTACAAATGTTACAAAATAGGTGTATAAGTATTTAAACAAATTACATATTCTAAATGTATTTTTAATTTAAAAACCGGCTTTATATTTTAGAAAAATAATTTTAAGTCATTAGATTGTAACCAATTAATTAATTTGAGAAGTGCTACATATGAAAAAGTGAACACATATTTATTTGAAATATGAAGTACAAGTTTACAAATTAATTTGAACTACAACTACAAATTTAAAATTTTGAAATATGAAGTACAAGTTTACAATTTTGAAATATGAAGTACAAGTATAAATAAATTTGACAAGTGCTATATAATACATTTTGTAATAAATTCTAAAATACTAATCAATCGGAATCTCCGGCATAGGTAGAGCCACCATCGGTTGTTGAGTCATCCATAAAATCTTGGGAGGGGGTGATGCTCAATTCTTGAGTTCTACGTGCGGCCTTCAACCAATCGTGGTAGCATATAAGCGTCTCAAGAGACTCCGCGCTCAATCTCGATCTAGATGCCGTTAGGACGTTGCCGGCCGAACTAAATTCTTGTTCCACAGCAACTGTTGAAACCGGCATTGATAGTACTTGCTTAGCCATCTGTGCTAAAATCGGGAACGTTCTTTCTTTTGACTTCCACCAGTCTAGAACGTCAAAGTCATCATTTTCTTCAAAATCAACTTCATATGTTAAATACAAAGTAATCTCATTCAATGCGCTTTGTTCAGTGACATGAGTTGTTTTAGTTTTTTTCATAAGATTGCCAAATGCAGATTTAAAAATCGATTTTCCTTTAGATGAAGATGTTCGTGACGGGGGAGGGGGAGCGTTGCTATATTGTGCACGAAATTCATTAAATAAGGCATAAAATAAAGTACTAACCTCGTTGTATTCCGTTTTCGGATCTATGGGGTTATCGTCATACATTGGAAATTCACCGAAAAACGCAAGATAATAGAAGTTGAAACAATCTTCCAAATTAGCAAGTCTATAACGAGGATCGAGAATAAATGCAATACCATAAATATGGGGAATATGCGCATAATATTTTAAAAACTTTTCCTTCATATGATCACAAAAATAATGAACGAAAACGGCATTTTGAAATTCTTTAAAAGCATCGGCGAGATTAACAGCTTGTGGAGTAAATTGGTTTGCGGTAGGTTTATAAACATGACTAAAAGTTTCAGTAGCATTAAAAAAATATATCAAAACATTACAAATTTTTTCGCAAGTGTCGATCTCAGCCGCGTTTATAATATAGTTCTCATGTTCTTTTAAAAAAGCAGGAAAATGTTCTTTATATCTAAGAACAACTTTAAGTAATTTATAAGTACTATTCCAACGAATACTCAAATCTTTAGGAAAAGCAACATATCTCACACCTCTTTCAGTCAAATAACTTTGCCATTTTAATCTAAGTTGACCATTACCCCAAATACGTCTAATCCCCCCCTTTATTACCTCCATGGAATCTCCTAACGCTTTTAAACCGTCTTGCACACATAAATTTATAACATGACATGCACAGCGTTGATGAAAAAATCTACCCATCAAAGAATTGGCACCACACAACTCACGCAATCTAGGTATAGCAGCAGTATTATTAGTAGCATTATCGAAACCAATAGCAAACACCTTATCAATCAAATTATACTCAATTAAAATACGCTCAATCAAAATATAAATATGTTCAGCGGTGTGACGATCATTAAATTCACGAAAAGCAAGAACACGTTTATGCATATTCCAATCCTCATCAATATAATGTGCAGTCAGACCCAAATAATATAAATGATGAAAATCATCCTCCCATATGTCAGAACAAATAGTAACACGCCCATCAAAGTTTGCAAAAAAATTTTGTAACCTTACCTTTTCCGCATTATAAAGCCTTATTATTTCTTTCTTAACAGTTTTGCGACTATAATTTCTAAATTGAGGATTTAAACTACCTTGTGCATAATCTCTTAAAGCAAGACTTTCAGAAAACAAATAAGGCAAATTTTCTTCACAAATTAAGTTAGCCATACCAGTCAAATTTTGTGCATCATTGTAGGAGAAATTACCAAAAGGTTGAGAATTCGCAAACCTCGATATTTGAGTTTGCTTCCCCGTTCCGCCGCCTAATTTTGCATACTCCACGGGGTGCTTTGCCTTAAGATGCCTTGCGGCGGATCCGTATCCGCCGGAGGTTCCCAAACTATAATTGTTGTTGCACCACTTGCAAGTTGCGTGCCAATAGCCGGTTTGTGGGTCCTTCCATTTATCAAAATTATTTTTCATTAGTTCAGACTTACTTTTTTTATTACCGGTGGCGGTTTGGGATGAGGCAGGCGCGTCGGCGTCGTGGCTGCCGGCACCCTCCTCCTCGGCCGTCTCCGGTTCCAATTCCTCCGCATCTTCATCCTCAAGCTCCTCTTCGTCAATGGTCGTCGGCATTTGTTGTTGTTGTAGAAAGCGGTTATTATGTCGGGCCAATTCTTGTTGGAGTTGTTCTTCGGACATCGCATCTCCATCTCGCCTTTGGTAACCCGTTTCAAAATCATCTCGGCTTTGAGATGAAGACCCGGCAAGTTCTTTACCTTTGCGGGATTTCTTCCTACCAATCTCGTTTCTTCGATTGCGTTGGAGGTTACCCAAATCAACCGAATATCTACCACCTTCCATCTAAAAAATGTAACAAATATTAATTCACAACAAATATAATAATGGATACAAAACTAATGCAACTAATTAAAACTATTTTAATTAATACTTCAAACTAATTTTGTGCAAAGTAGAATTAATGTGTGTCTCTACAATTAAAATTATAGCAACTTTTGAAGTAAATAACTAGTACAATAAAAAATGTAACAACAATGCTAATTAAGTAGTTAACTAGTATAGTGACAAATGTAACAAACTAACAACTAGTTAAATAAAATGTGAAGTATTTTAATTAGTATAATGAAAAATGTAACAAGAATGCTAATTAACTAATTAACTAGTATAATGAAAAATGTTACAATAATGGTAATGAACTAATTAACTAGTATAATGAAAAATGTAACAAGAATGCTAATTAACTAATTAACTAGTATAATACTAGTTATAGTAAGTAATATATAATATAATGTTTATATTATATAATATATAAGTAAACTACTATAAGATGAGTAATACACTTATATTTTATACTTTAATATATAAAATATATATTAAGTAGCTAGATGTAGAATGTATGTATTAAGTGGATATAATAATTGTATAAGAATTAAATATTAGAGTATAATGGAGAATTGGAGATTGGAAAATAAGTATATATAAAATATAAGTAGAGAAGTAGATATTATTATGTATTAAGTATATAGTAATAGTTTATAAAGTATATTTAATACTTTATTATATAAAGTATATATTAAGTAGATATAGTATGTATGTATGTATGTATTAAGAGATATAAGTAGAGATTAAGTAGATAAGAAATATAAGTAATATAGTATATGTAGATAATAATATATAAGTAGATAATTAATATATATAAGTAGATATAATAATTGTATAAGTATTAAATAGTAAAATAAAATATAAAGGAGAATAAGAGAATTTGAGAAGATGAATATGGAGAATTGGAGATGAGTAGAGAGTAGGATTTAGGTAGAGTTGGAGAAGAGGTGTGAAAAAATGTTTAAAATTAGGAGTATTTATAGGTTTTTTTTTAACCCCAACCCCCACCCCACCCCCCACCCAAAGCCCCCTGACCCCCCCCCCTGGTACCACCCAACGGCTATATAGCCGTTTGGGTGACTGTTGAGCCACCAAAAGAAGCAAAAAAATTTTTTTTTTTTTAAATTTGGACCGTTAGGCCCGGGCCCGGGCCCGACCCGGCCGGGCCGGGCCTCCAAAATCAGGACCCGAGCCCGGTCCCGCTTACCCGACCGGGTCTGTGCCCGAACCGGACCCGGACCCGAGAACCGGGCCGGTTCCGGGCCCGCACAGTGGCGGGCCGGGCCGGTCCCGGGCCGGGCGGCCCGAACCGGGTCCACGCCTACATGATGATATTCAATTTTGTCCTCGTCTGTGAGGTTAAGGTTGAATCCTCAACCCCAAGAGCCTCCCACGTCCTAATCCGAGCCAGTCATTTGAGAGGTTGTAAGTCAAGTTGATTCTATTAGTCCAGTAATTGTAGACCTTGTACCAGTGCGCATCAAAGGTGTAACCCATTGTAATCTTCTCACGGTCGCTGCGAGATTTAATCTTTGATCAATGTTCCAACTTTCCCACCCCTAAATCAATTGAGCTACTTAGGAGAGGGTTGCCCTCGTCTCACGTCTGTAATGTAACACGTTATGTTGATACTGTTGTAGTATTGCAATTTGTGTCTCCTAACAATAGTATTAGTGCGATGGTTTTGGGTGGCACAATTAGTAAGTGATAGGTCAAAGGGTTAAATAGGCCTTCGAATTAACTTAAAAAGTGAAAATCACTCCTTATATAGGAGACTCTGTCCAGCCGTTGCCATTTGGGGTGATTCCCGGTTTTGATGAATTTTTTTGAGCATATTCTTCATTAAGTCTAGTTTACTTATACCAAATTTCAGATAAAAATCCAACCGGGAAGACGGTCAAATGATTTTCTAAAATGTACTGCCGTTGTTTAACTGCTTAGTTATCTTCAAAAATTCATTTGGCTGTCTTCCTGATTGATTTTTTGCTGAAATTTGGTATTAGTAAACTAGACTTAATGAAGAAGATTCTAAAAAAAAATCATCAAAAACTTCCACCGATAACATCCCCAAATGGCGACGGCCGGATAGGTGAATCCATGGCCTTTATCCAGAATTTTCATTTATAAAAACGGGCCAAATTGTTTATTAATGGACTGGACTGGCCGTAATGAGAAAAAGGATTTTTTTATCTAGAATTTTAGGTTTTTCTTTTTACTCCGGGGGCGTCATTAGGCCTGGACTCGGGCCGGTTCGGGCCCGGTTCGGGCCTGGGCCCAGCCGGGCCTCGGGCCAGGAAATGGGAGGCCCGGGCCCGAACCGCCGGTGGCCGGTTCCGGTCCCGGTTCCGGGCCAAACCGGGTCGGGCCGGGCCGAACCGGCCCACTTTTTTTTTTTTTTTGTTCTCCTATTTAATCCCCCACCCCTCCCCCTGAACCCCAAACCAACTCAAATGGCCCAAAATACCTATTCCAACCCAAAACTTTAAAAAAATTTCAAAAAAAAAAAAAATTAAAATCCGGCCCGGACCGGGCCCGAACCGGCCGGGCCGGTTCACCATTTGGAAGGCCCGGGCCCGGAACCGGGAACCACCGGGCCGGTTCGACCCGAACCGCCGGTGGACCGGGCCACCGGGCCGGGCCGGTTGCTACAGTGGCCGGGCCGGGCCGGTTCCGGGTCGGGCCGCCCGGCCCGAGTCCAGGCCTAGGCGTCAGGGGAGGGGATTTTGGGGGGCCTGTGGTAAGCTGAGACCAATCTCTCTCCATTGAGAATTGAACTCGGGACCTCCAATAAGGGAGAGTGACTTGGCGACCAGCTGGGCTGGACCGCTTCCTCTATCTAGAATTTTAGTTTGTACGAAGTATGCTCTTTCATTCCAAATTATTTATTGGATGACTGCTTTAATTCCAGGCTTTTATATTTTTAGATCAAGCCAATTTGCGATAAACTGAGTATTTTTTTCTTCAAAAAAATAAAAATAAACGGAGTATTTTGTATCACATGTAATCAATATATTATAAACGGACTATTATTTCACATATTAACTTATTTTTAAACTTAAGTTATCACACTATATTGTATTGCGTAGTAATTATTAGTCATATTTATCTAAATAAGTTTTTTAATAATTTTTTGGTGACATTTTGGTAGTAAAATCAAATGACTCAACTTTTGAGTGAGTGCTATGACTCAACTTTTGTGTGTGTAATCTGTATAGTGTTATCTGCTAATAAAATTATGTATTTCTTAATATACAAAAAAGGAAAAATTAATAAAAATATCCCAAACTTTGAAGGGGTGTGAGATAAACACTCCAAACTTGCATATGTATTTCAAATACCCTAATCTTTAAATAAAAAGTTGTTTTTGCACCATTGTCATGTATTATTTCTTTCAAAAATGAAAATTTATGGGGTTAATTGTATAATTTAAAATAGAAAATTAAAAGTGTTGAGATTATATAGATTGAGGGTAACATTATCTATTTTCTAATGGAAGTTTAGAATGTTAATGGTTTCTTCATGAATTCTAAAATGTTTTAAATTATGCAACTAACACCATAAATTTACATTTTTCAAAGAAATAATACTTGACTATGGTGCTAAAATAACTTTTTATATAAAATTTGGGGTATTAAAATTACATATGCAAGTTTGGGTTGTTCATCTCACATCCCTTCAAAGTTTGGGGTATTTTATTTATTTTTCCCTATAAAAAACCATATTTAAATAAATACTCCCTCTGTCCCTTATAACTTTGCCAACTTTCCTTTTTTGGATGTCCCATTAACTTTGCCACTTTCCCATTTGAGTAAAGAAATTGTGGTTCCAGTTAATTCTCTCTCCTCTGCACAAACCTCAACCACACAGTTTTTACTTTATTAATCCCCGTGCCAGTCAAACTTGGCAAAGTTATTAGGGACGGAGGGAGTAAGTTTTTTAGTAATAACTTTTGAGTTTTGACCATTAACTTCATAAATGTATACAACTAATAAACTGATCCATTTCTTAATATATTATCGTAATATTATCATAAATGACATACTGTTAATATTTCATAAAAGAACTTTTGCTCCGTGCAATGCACAAGTGTGATAAACTTTTCACCTTTTCATGGACCCTAGACAAATGCTGTTTGTGCTTCAAAATATTGAATTTTTTTCATGTTATCTTCCGTTGAATAACATGATTTGGTTTGTTGTCCCTAAATGGTCGTTGTAAAAGTTTTGATGTATCATTTTGGATCTGAACATTTTTTCTTTAATTAATATAAGGTTCTTTATTCCGGTCGTGCATCACACAGGTAGATACTAGTTATAACAAATGCAATAAGTAGGCAATAAAGTAATACTCCGTAATAAATGTAATTAATACGTAGGCACCATAATACATATGCTAGGAGTAATAAATGACATGAATACAGATGCATTTTGTAAACATTGAGTTATTTATAAAGATAAAGAAATGCTATTGTAAAGATAAAACAATCATATATTGTTTTTTTTTTATAAATAATTGGGAAAACTGTCAAATAGGTCCCCGTACTATATCAAAAAAGTCAATTGAGTCCTCCTACTATTAAATCACTCAATTAAATCCCCCAACTATCAAAAAACATTCAATTTGGCATTTCAACCGGGAATCAACCGGTAAAGAGGTTAGGCCGATCCACGTGGGCATATTTTACATTTTTCATTTATTTTACTTTCTTCTTTTCTTTCCCGTTCTCTGCCATCAGGCTCTGGCCCCCTTCCGCCCAAGCCCCAATCAGCAACATTGTTTCTTTTTCTTCATTCCACGCCATCCAATCCAGAGAAGCTAGCCATTCAGAACTTCAATTCAGTGAGTGCAGAAGAGGGCGAGGGCTGTAAAGGACGGCGTGGAGGCAGGGGCTTCTGCGATGTCACCGGAAAACCTAGGTATGGATGCTGCGAAATCGCCAGAGATCTCGAACCTTCTCCCACCGAAGGTTGTTGAAGTTTTCCATCGAGTTTGTCCAGTTGGTTTACACATACATAGTAAATTAGTAATTAAATACTACCTCCATCTTTCTTCTTCAGCCAAGAAACCAACTGGACACATGACCCCTCTTTCCCTCTGCAAACCCACCCACCCAATGTCCTCTTCTGTACTCACTGAAATTCCTAATATGAGGAATGACAAGCTTCTCTTGATTGGATAGGGTGGATTGAAGAAAAAGAAAAGATGTTGCAGGCTTGGGGCTTTGGCGGAAGAAGACGTACAACTAGCTAGAGCCAACGGAAGAGAAGGTTGAAAGAAAGAAAAAAAATGTACTACACGTAGTAAAATACTAAAATCTGGCACGTGGATCGGCCACATGGGTATGTTAACCCCTTTACTGGTTGTTTCCGGTTGAAATATCAAATTGACTTTTTTTTATATAGTTGGAGGATTTAATTGAATGATACAATAGTACAAGGACCTAATTGACTTTTTTGATATAGTACGGGGACCTATTTGACAGTTTTCCCTAAATAATTAGATATTAACTTTAATACGGAGCTTGAGAGTCTCTCTCTATACCTTCGTTTACTCCTAGGGCTCGGCCGCTAGGGTTAGGTTTCCGATTTCGTTATCTACGAAGATCGGTAGTTCAGACGGGGAAGGCATCGTTAGCGGCAGTCTCAGACTCGAGCAAGAAGAGCAGGGGTTTCGACCGAGACAAAGTCTTGGATGGAAGATATTGTTAATTCATATAAGACGATGTCAATTGAGAAACAAGTGAACGAGCTTAACTTCGACGAGGAGGCAGAAGAGGGAGGGGAGGAGGCGAACGAACCACATGTCTTCCCGGTGGTTGGCCGGGGTTTTCGTCTCGGACCGAAGGGTCAAATTGACGGGTTTCCAAGAAATGATGGCTTCTATCTGGCGGCCAGGGCGAGGTATGACTTTCAAGGAGATTGGAGAAAAAAGGTATTTGCTTAATTTTAATCATGTTTTGGATATGAATCGTGTGCTTGAAGATGGTTCTTGGCTTTTTGAACGTGATTTAATCCTATTGAAAGTTGTTCAGCCAGATGACATCCCTGAAACGATGACTTTATTTGAGGCTAGTTTTTGGGTACAGGTTCATAATGCCTCTATTAAGTTTAGAAATTTGGGATCTGCCAGAAAAATTGGTAATATTTAAGGCTCTTTTATTAAATTTGAGATGAGCCAATTTGAAGCTAAACAAAGCTCTTATCTGCGTATAAGGGTGTGCTTGGATGTTCGCAGGCCTTCAAAAAGGGCACTACTTTAACAAAAGTTGGGGTTAAGCATTGGATTTTAAATATGAAAAACTACCCAACTTTTGCTTTTTGTGTGGTATAATTGGACATTCTGATAAGTTCTGTCCTTTAAAGTATGAAGAAGGCTTTGTAGCCGAAAAGTCTTTTGGGGTGGAACTCGGAACAGGAGGAGGGTGAAGACGAGCCCAACAAGACCCAATAAGTGACTATCTAATGCAACATCGAGTTCAGGTGGATATGGATATCAGTGGAAGGCTGATCTCGGGGGAGAATTTACGGCTGAGTCAAAGGCCAATATGCAACAGAACGAGACAGAAGACAGGGAAGAAACTCCTGGAGATACAAAGCGAAGGAGAATTTGGGATAATCAGCCCAAAAGAGACACAACGGGTGAAGGAATGACTCTGGATTGGCCAAAAGATGGGGAAGCGGCGGGTGAGCTGCCTTAGACCCACCGAGATTTTATTGGATGGTGCTGGCGAGGAAGACTAGTGGCAGTGTTATCTTTATTTTCTGTTTTGTGTGCTTTTATTTTGGAGACTACTATCTGTTTTGCTCTTATTCTTATGTTCTTTTGCTTTGTAAGACTCTTGCATTAAGTTTGGGGGATGAAAGGTTTACGGTAACCGTGATTGGCTTTAAGTTGCCCAATTCAGGTCTAACGAGTTATACTGCTTTTTTTACAGGTGGTTAACTCTCAGTCTCGGCCACAGGCGGATGATTATTTGTGGTTCTTTTATTATCCTGTATCTCTGCTGAATGCTATTTTTATTATGAATTAAGCCATCTTCGATAAAAAAAAATTAGAGATTAGAAAACTACAAATTATTATATATTTCCCAATAAACAACATTTAAAGTCTTCTTGAATGATTTTCCGACATCATCATGTATAATAAACTTCAACCCAGATAGGACGCTACTCTTGAAATCATGACGTAAGAAACCCCTACCCACTCCAAGGACTGTCGCTACCTCTGGTTGATAGGCATCATGTGAACTACAACTTTAGATCAGTTGGAGTCAAGCTAAATTTCAGAATAAGACACTTTTGTCACGTGTTACCGACATCCTCTCAACCAATACAAATTTGTTTCATATAATTTTTTAAAAAATTGAACCGTTATTCCATTCTGTTTTATGTAGTACTTTATATTAATGACCCTTTTGGTTTAGTTTTACCCTTAGTTTGAATTTAAATTGAACCGTTACATCAACGTTACTTCATATTGATTCACCTGGATATAAATTTTAAAACTATTGTTGCGCAGCATGAGTACACAAATACGTAGTATACATCAACTTGCACTAAATATAATACGTAGTAATTTTGTAATCCACTGGTTTCTTTTTTAAGTTTTAATTAATTAATTTTTTTTATTAAAAGTCAATAAAAATAAAAATTCAATACAGTTTTTCCCAAAAGAGGGTAAAAATTATGAAGAAAAAAAAATTGCGGGATTATTTGTGGAAAGGTGATATTATTTTCAGTTTAGATGACCCATTAAGAATGTCACAATCCGTGATCATTTTGAGATCGATTGTTATTAACAGAAAAGTGTTAATATTAATCACTTCGAAAATACACAAAAGAAAATAAACTTTGAAAGAGATGATTAGGAATAAAGGGAACATATTACATATTACTTGATCATCTTTGAGCAAAAGCTCAACAGACCAAGTGCGACTCTCCGGAAAATGCACGGTTCACTTCCTTATGACATGAACAAACAATTGCTTAATGCTTAATAATGTTAGCTGAGAAAAGCTTCAATGCAGGCGTTCTTTAAAAGCAATACGCAAGAAAAAAAATTAATTTTCTAATGTAAATGCTATGAAGGAACTGTGTTATAACAGGGTGAGAGGATTTAAAATAACCAATGTAATTGGAGCCTTAATGAAGTATTTCCTCGTCCCGTTGGAAGGTTCCCTGATAGGTAAATGACGCGATTTTTAAGGTAACTGATTAAATAAAGTAATTTGGGTTAAAAAGAGAGAATATTTTTTTTTAGAAAAAGTAAACATATAAAGTGAAAGTAATTAAAGGGAGATAATGTGAGAAAGGAAAAATTGTGAGACTTAATATGTAATGAGTAAGAAAGAGAAATTTGAATAAATGTGTAATTAGTGAGTAAATTATTTCTTATAATGAAATGAGATCCTTTAAATGAGACACTCAAATAAGGAAAGTGAAATTCTTTCAACGGAAGGAGTGAGTAGGAGATTTTATCACACGATTAAACCCCGAGAAAAAAGAACTATTTCACGTTTTTTGCGCCAGATGCTCTCTGTGTACTTTGATTAGGGATAAAATCTCGTTTCCAAAATTTCAGACTTCTAATAAATAGGTTACTTCATAAAAATTAGTAATTAGAATACTATAGGTTATCTAATAGGCAATTATGTTTCAGTGTATACTAAAATGTTGAGAAAATATAAAATAAAAGTTTTATTCATATTTATCATCTAAAAAAGAAATCAAAGAAAAAAATGTCATAAAATTGGTGAGTAATGCTACATTGAACTGTATAAACAATAGAAAGTATAGTAATTAGACTACAGTTAGTTATCTAACATGGTATAATTTTCAGTGCAACATAATATTTTGGGAAAACATAAAATAAAAGTTTGATTGGTATTTATCAAAGAAAAAAAGAGAAAAAGAAACAAAACTCAAAAGAATTGAAATGAGTAAACAGTGAAGTTAGTCTTAATGTAAAAAGTTTTACTGGGTTACAATGAATTAGGAACAGATCAAACACATACCTAACACACAAATATTGATGTAATTTCCAACTTAAAAATGGCTATTCATTGCGATCTTTAGAATTTTACAGTACATAATAATATTTTGGGAAAATGTTTAGGAATAACATTTAGGGAAAAGGGGCAAATAAGCCCTCAAACTAATCAAAAAAGTGCAAATAAGCCCTTTTGTAGGAGGTTCCGTCCGGTCATCGTCATTTGGGGAGGTTCACGGTGGAATTTTTTGATGAATTTTTTTTAGCATCTTATTATTAAGTATAGTTTAGTCCTACTGAATTTCAGCTAAAAATTCAACCGGGAAGACAGTCAAATGAATTTTTGAAGATAACTGCGCAGTTAAACAACACAGTATATTTCCGAAAATCATTTGAGTGCCTTCCCGGTTGAATTTTTAGCTGAAATTCGGTATGGCTAAACTAGACTTAATGAAGAAGATGTTCAAAAAAATTCATCAAAAAATTCCACCGAGAACCTCCCCAAATGACGATGATCGGACAGAACCTCCTACAAAAGGGCTTATTTGCACTTTTTTGATTAGTTCGAGGGCTTATTTGCCCCTTTTCCTTAACATTTAAAACCCAATGTTGAGAAACAAAAGAGAGCGAGAGGAGCAGAGAGAAAACACGTAACCTCTGGACAATGAGCCTTCTATTTTTGAACTGAGATTTAAAGCATCATCTGCAGCAATTGGAAACTTAGTCCCTCTGCTTATTAGAATTGAAAACAAACGAAAGAAAATTTACATTGGAAAAATACCAGCAAGTTCAAAACCTGAAGGAGATATTGAATCGAATATCTACCAACAAAACCCAAAAGAACTGAAATGAGTAAACAATGGAGTTAATTTTAACTTCACTATTGAACTGGATTAATGCTAATTTGAAGCAAAGGATCTCATAGAAATATGAAACACACATATTCACCCGTTTATGCTCTACCAAATCCCACCCAACTCCACCCCACACCCACATATTGTATCACTTATTTTTCTAAATGGCGGTCAATCCCGGTCATAAAAGAGTAAACAAATACGGAGTATATTTTTATAATGGTATGAGAGAATATCCAAGAATCTAATCTAAAGAAACAATAAACTGATTGACTTGTCTGGTTAAAACATTTATACAAAAGTCAAGTAATATATAAGACTCCATACAACTCAATTTCAAAGAATCAATTCCACAACTTTTCTCTCAGATGGATGAGCCTAAGCTGAAGCAGAGCACTTCCATACAGGGCCAATGAAAGCTATATGGTTCCACACTTCCACCTTGCAAAGTCAAGTAATATTAGATATGATCTTGGAAGGGAAAAGAAAACAAATGAATCTAATTTAGTGGTATTAATTAGATTTGTTGAGTTGTTGGCTTAGTTGTTAATATGTATAGGTTTGGATCTATTAGTTTGCTCTTGCTAAGAAGGCGTCTTCAGATTTGTTATAGCCGAATGCTTGAACTACTGTTACACCCGTAATTGGGTTGTATATTTTACCTTGTATTTATTAGCCTAGATTATAGTTTAATGGGCCAAGGGTTTATATGTTTTCGGCCATAGCATGTATATATACACACGTTGATTAACATAATAGAAGGCAGAATAGTTTTTACCCTATTTTAATATGCTAATGCGCAACATGGTATCAGAGCGTGTCTGAGCATATCGGCGATCGTCTTCGGCAATCACACCAGGGCAGCACCAGCGTGTTCGTCCTTGTGCACGATGACCGATCCTTCTCCGCCCTATTATCTCGGATCTGGTGATCAGCCCAGGAATCTTATTACTCATGTAATTTTCCGCGGTGACAATTACGTGGGATGGTCTACAGATATCACGCTCTCCTTAAAGGCTCGCCGGAAATTCTGTTTAGTGGATGGAACGATGACAAAGCCGACTGAACCGGCAAAATTGGTGCTCGATTGGGACACCGTAAACTCTACGGTGGTTTCTTGGTTGCTGCGGAGTATGGAGCAAAACGTGGTCACGTCCATTCCGTTCCATGAAGAAGCTCGTGCCCTATGGGTGTATTTGGAGAATAGGTACAACGTGGCGAACGGGCCGCGTCTTGAGCAACTGCGGGCGTCCACCACAGAGTGCAAATAGATGAAGAACATGTCCGTGGATGGTTACTTTACGGCTTTGTTGAGCCTATACGATGAAATGAATAGGCTTAAGCCTTTACACACTTGCACGTGTGGATTGTGCACCTGCAATGTGGCTGCGAAATTCGCCAAGGATAGGGAAGAGGAGAAGCTTCATCAGTTCTTGATTGGGATTGACGATGAAGCGTATGGAACGGTTTGTTCCAATTTACTCTCGCACAACCCTCTTCCCGAGATTGATCGCGCCTATCAAATTTTTCTCCAAGAGGAAAACTCTCGTGCTGGCGTGCTGCTGCCCGGCAGTTGACGTGCACGCTTTTGCTGTTGCGAAGGGTAAGCCAGATCGGGCTGACAAGCAGAAACTTGTTTGCACCCATTGTAGACAAAAAGGACATGAGGTCGGGAACTGTTTTTAACTTCATGGATACCCGGATTGGTGGGATGATAGGAACAAAAATAAAGGAGGAGCAACTTCCGGAGTCCGTGAGGGTACTGGCGGCCGTGGAGGGGGGGGGGGGGGTGCTGTGACACTCCTTATATTTAATAAAGATGTTAATTTTATTTGTAGATATTTTTTCAAAGCTTATGATTCGAGACGAAACATCTTTTAAGGAGAGTAGAATGTGATACCCCGAAAAATTAAAATAAAATAAATAATTTTATTAGTCAGATAAAATGTTGCGAAAGTGACAATTTAATAATTAAGTGAATCAGCTAAACATTTAACATCTATGACATTTTTAATCAGATAAAAATGGTTCAATAATAAAAGTGACATTTTAATTTAAAAGATGCGTAAATAAAATGTGTACAAAAATACCCTACAAAAATAACAGTTTTGAAAATTGAAAGAGTTGACTTTAAAGCCTAATTATATACGGAGTACTCCGCCTAACATTAATACTTGCCCCAATATCGAACAAGGAAATTAAAGATG